GGTAGGGGAAACCGGAGGACCCGGCAGAAACCTGCGCAGACACGGGGAGAATATGCAAACTCCACTCAGAAAGACTCTGTTCAGACAGGGATTCGAACCCAGGACCTTCTTGCTGGGGGTGCATTCATTTATTAATTTCAAGAGGGAGACATGGGACAGCACGGTGGCTGAGTGGATGTCTGAATCTGATTTAAATACACTATATCAGTTTCATTTCTGTCTCATTCAATGAAAACCCAAATACTGCACATACCACATACCTATGTTGGGTTTCTATAAAACTTTTAAAAGAATAGTTCCGCCCGGGAGCCTCAGTATCTTAAGGTTATAATGCCCAATTGTCTAAATAAAAATAAAAATTAAGGCATAATATATGATAGTCAGTATGAATAATGATTTATGACCAAATCATTATTCATACTGACTATCATATATTATGCCTTAATTTTTATTTTTATTTAGACAATTGGGCATTATAACCTTAAGATACTTTCATCAATTCTCATTCATAAAATCTAGGGTTGCCAGTTCTGATGCTGATATTCAGTAGTTTAACTACACAAACAGGATCTTCCTAAAGCTCCAACAGCCTCTGCAGCTCAGTTTGCGGTGATATTGAGGTGATTTAAAGAAAATTAGTGATAATGGGTACATATATATAAATATAAAGCATGCATAAACAACTCAAAAGGTTAAAATGTTATGAATCTTTATTCATACCAGCATAACTCATTTATGTAGAGGGACAATTCCATTGGCAGACAGACACTGGTAAAGGAAAACACAAGTCATGTCTAATAATATAATAATGAAAGTGTAAACATGTTATTCACTCAAATAAAACAAGAAACCGGTGTGAGGAAGGAGTGTGTTTAAGGCAACTGCTCGGAGCTGAGCGCATGGAAAACGTCGTACTTGTCCTTTTATAATGTGTCTTAATGAAGTATAGGTCTTTTACCATAGTTTACTTTTTCTTTTACCAGATTTGACTTTGGCTACTTACACATTCACTAAGTGCATAGTGATGACTAAAGCATAGTCCTCCTTAAATTCACAGCTTTGAACTAGAAATGAGTATTGTTTTTAATATTACTATTTTTTGATAAAACACTACAACTGCCAAAAATGTTTGCTTCAATTTGTCCCTTTCCTTTGATAAAGATAAAAATCAGGCTTTGCAATCCATAATGTGTAAGAAATATTGAAAAATCTTGCTAATATCTGAAAGTGGATGTCATTTTGAGGCCTTGCCGGTCTGCCTGCCTAAAAGTGTTCACGTCAAAGTTGTTTAAATAAAAACACGTCATTGATAAAACTTGCCAGTAGATTTTATATGTCTTTCATTTGGACTCAAACATTGCACAAATCTCTAGGTTCAATCAAAGTTAATGACAATATATTTACATGGACTGTGTGAAACTATTAAAGGGCCAGTTTGATTGTTTTCTAAAAGGTGGAACCAGCACCCCCTGTGGGCCAAAATGTGAAATGACATTAGGAGAGATAGAACATTTTTGGGAAAATATCGAGCGTCCAACATTCAAAATCCAGTGAATTTCAAATAAATAATCTCTGCAGCTTTCACTACAATTTAACAACAAAAGTGCATTACGTAACTTTTCAGGTTTAGGGTCCACCACCACAGTACCGTCTCCATGGAGATACCAGTGCTTTGCTCAGAAACTATTTCACTTTTTCCTTTCTGTTTCTGAGCAAAAAAACACATGCTAAATATACATTCCATGCAGTTATAATGAAATCAATGTAAATATTTGGAAGTCATTGTCAATGCTATATCTTTTCGACAAAAAAGTTACAAAATTAGAAATGATATAGACTGAAACAATGAATACAACTTTGTAAAAATACACCTTTGTAAAAATACATTGTCTAGTAAACGTGCAGTGTTTTGGTAAAATTAAAATACAAAATGGAAAGTACACAAGGATTCACTTTTTATCAGCGCATACAGCTGAAGGATTGCATCTTTTAATATACTGTGATTATGTTTTTTTCTTGCTTTGAGTTGCCTTGTGTATGAGCTGTGCTATACAATTAAACTTGCCTTGCCTTTTCTTTTCAATCCTAGAGCCATAAACTAACTCAAGATCAAGAACACTAATCCCATGATTCATTCACATTATATTATAGGTGTTTTCATACTGCAGACCTGGTATTTAACCAAATGACATGGACTCGGAATGTGGCGAGTTGTTTTGACTCGTGTCATCTTTATCTAAGATTTTGGTAAGTATGAAAAAGCCTATAGTAAAAAACGCTGATTTTCTAGTCCACTCAGAAGGATATGGTCATCATTACAATAACAGGGCATTATCATAATGACTTAACACAACTGAAAACCATTTTAGTCAAAAACTCAAACGAAAAAAACAAAAATTCAATTATCACTGATTCCAGCAAGGGCATCTCTATGGAGAAAAGTACGGAGATGGGCGGGCAACCCCTCACACCTGAAATGTTCCGCAGTGTGCCTTCTTACGTCTTCAGTGTCGCAACTGTTCAAGCCGAGAGTCAAAGAAAAGTGCAACAATTTCACAGGAAATTATGGTCGACCATAACATGTACATATCAACAAATATATTACATTACATAAATAAAGACAGTGTGAATATTAGGGCATTGTATCTGTATAGCTTAAAAAAAGTCAAAAATATATCACCAGGTAAAGCTTTTTCAGTCCGCTGGCATTGAGAAATAAAACCAGAAATGTATTTGCACAATCTCGCAATGCAGTTTGTATGGAGATCTGGGATTGGCTGAGCTTTCCCGGATCTGAATCTTGAGTGGATCTTCTCTTCCGCAGCTGTTGCATTAACATGAAGACAACCTGAGAAGTCCTGATGTCGTGTTTTTTAAAAAGTCTGCCCAATGCAAAGTCCAGGGCAGGTCTTTGCACGGACAGCACCATTTTTGGGGAGGCCAGGCCCAAACGTGGTCCTTTTTGTATAAGTCCATTTGTCCGACCGAAGACCAACGCACCTCAATGGCCTCTGCATCGAAGACCCTGGAGTCTGGATCAACACGGCTTTTAGAACGGTCCGTTGAAATCACCCAGAGGAAAAAAAGGGAAATGATTGTGGATTGTTGCTGTGTCTATGTGTCAATGGATTAAAGTGACTAATTTTTGACTTTGGTAAAAAAAAAATCAATAATGTCAAGATTTGCATATAATGAACCAGCAGAAATAATACCTACATTTGGTTTATATGATTTGTTTGAAAACATTGGATGGAAACAGCTTGTGGGCAATGTCAACACTCCTCACTCGGGACCACAATCTTGGCTCAAGTGCTGTGAATTTTGTTGGAATAGATAATGTTTTTAGCTGCACATAGTTTTGGGACAATTGTTTTTCTTTAATATATTTGCACATGAGCAGAAAACGAGAAGTCTTGGGGTGAGTAGCTGGAAATTTGGGAAAATAATCCACTATATTTCATTCATATGCAACACATATTTGGAGAGTGTGGGTTGCGTGTCTCACAGAATTATGCATTTTACATCTTGAATTCGGCCTATAGTGAGTGATGTTTGGATCCATGCAGGTTTTTAGTAGATGTGTGATGTCCATTTTGACGTTGGCAGTGTCCTGAGAAACTGATCCCGAAGTATATGATTAAAAGTGTAAGTAAATCCAGACAACTTGCACTTGACATCCACCAAAAACAGCAACTGCTTTGAGACACGATAATCCACTGACCATCACTGCAACCAGGAACATGGACTCTGATTGGACAGACCTAAAGCAGAGAGAGGACGATATAAAACACTGCATTGAATAGTGTTAAAGTTAGATTTGTCGATGAAACGAGGGCTTTCTGTTCTTGTTCTATTGGCAAATGTTATTGAGCGCATTGAGGTTTAAAGCGTTAAACTTCTGCCTGAACCCTTTGTTTTTTGTTTTTTTTTCCTCCCTGCTGTTGTTAACTAATGGCTGAAGAAATAATAATACATTTGTGAGATTTCATAACACTTTGAAGCAACTTTTGTTAAAGTTAAGCTCATCATGCTATCAATGTGCAGAAGCCAGTACTTTTCCCTTGTTGTGTCTATCTGAAGGCCAAGCTACATGGCACCGTGGCAGCTGCTGATTGGAGGTCTCCATGCCTCCGCTCTGTATAATACACTTGCATTCTGTTGTATCTGTGTTCGTGTTGTTCGTGCTGTCTCTACCATCGACAATAAAACATGTCTTCTGTCTGAATTAAAGACGCGATCCCAGACTATGTCATCTTCTTCACATTCACTAAAAACAACATAAAAATATCTACCCAATCATTGAACAGCATTGCATTTGTCTGCCTGGTGAGTCAGAATAAAATGACTAATGTCAATATGCTGCAATTTCCATTTCCAATTTTATTTCATGGAATTATTTTTTACTTTCTTCAAATCTAATTATTTTTATATAGCCCTAAGACTCAACAGAAGTTTCCTCGGAGGACTTTACAAAGTTTGTAGGAACGAGACAAAGCTAGACGTCCATCAAAAAGACCAATTAAAACAGATATTTAATCCAACGTACACCAAACATTATACACCCAAGCAGTAGTCTTCTGCCAGACCTAGACCTAAACACTGAAAATTTTTACGTCGTATTTATAGTTAAAACACAAATTCAGACTAATTTGTAATTGCTCATTCTTCCTGAAGAGGGCGATGTCTACTTAAAAAGACACTGTGTTTAGTGAAAGATGAGATCAGAGAAGCAGCGGCGCAAGTATTTGGATGAATCTATATGAACGGCCAACTGTGTCTAGAATATATCAGAATGATTGATACCAGTGCACAAAACAAATAAAACAAGAGCTTGGAGTAAGAAACTTGGATGGGTTTATTTCCTGTACATAATACGATGGATAGTTAAATGGATTAAGTCAAAGTTCAATCACTAAAGGTTAGGAGTAATGTTGTCATGAAAGTAAAAAGATGGTGGAGATTTGGAGGAAGGGAACTCACCTCTGCTACGACACACGACTTCAAGGCCAAAGGATAAAAGCGAGAGAAAAGAACAAAAAGAGGAATAAAAACTGTGGAGGAAACAGGAGGAGAGAAGGGGAGAGGACAGAGGAGGAAGAAGATTAATCGCCCACTCTGACTGTTAGTGACCTCAAAGACTCACAAGGACATCATCACCGGAAAAATTGTATGATTTGGCACAAACCAGCGGCAGGAACTAGGGAAAAAATTTGACTTCTTGGATTAAACACAAATAGTCGGGAAAATGTGTGACAGGGCGCAGCAAAACAAGGAAAAAGTCTGCCTTATTAGGGCGTATTTTGACTTATTCCCATATTCTGAAAGTGTATATCCCTTATTTGATTAGGTTGGACATTCAATAAAAACATACATAATTCAACTTGACAAACTTTAATGAAGAATTTAATCAAAATGTTGCTTAATAAGTCGAAGCATAACAGTATAAGTATATATATTTTGGTCCTTTGATGTATTTGACGTTGACATCCCTGCCCTAAACGGTAAGGAACGTCAACGTCAAATACATCAGAGGATCAAAAAAAGTAATTTTCAACAAGCCGAGGGCCGAATTGGTTCAATGTTTAATAAAACATGTGAAAATGATTGCACAGCAGAACCAAGACCTAACATAGTGTACTGTATATTATTTAAACCAACATTTTTATATGTCTCTATCAGTAATTCCAAGTGCTAACATTGACAAAAAGCTTCCTTCAAAGAGAAAATACACCTGAACATTAAATGTCATTAAATGTTCTAATACTAATCAAATATCATCTTGGGGGAAAAGATAATTCATTTGCGGGTTGGATCAGCCCCCGTGCCTTGACTTTGACACCCATGGTTTTGGGGTATTATACAGGTAAATGTGCATACGTTAGGTCTACATGGAATAGAAGATACCTTAAGACAAAATAGTAAAGGGATGTTCTATAATAATGTCAGCAACAGAGTAGCAACTAAAAAAGGCACTTTTCCCTATATTGTGTGAACATGGTAAAAACAGGATCAAACTTTGAATGGATATGAGCCACAGCCACTAATTACAATCTTTACCTTTTCCTCCAAGTCTTTAATCTGCCTCCTCTGGATCTCTGTTTTGTCCTCGAGATCACGGATTCTCTGCAAATGGCACAGCAAATATTAAAAATGTTCTTATCAATGTTTATGTAAAAATGGGCAGGACGCTTAAGGGAGCACAAAAACATGCTTGTATATCTAACGGAAACTTGATTTACATGAATACATTATGTAGCTGACTCATTTTAATGACAATATTTATGATTTGAGAAAATTATTTGTTCTTAGGAAAAAAAGGAATTCTGAGTTAAATGGTGTATCTAGAGAGAATGAAGTGAATTGAGTGTAGGTAAGGTAGGTTAGTGTAGGTAAGGTGCTGCACTGGTGCTGTGGTACCTGGTGAGCCTGGTGCAGCAGCTCCATCCTCTCCTGCAGGATCTGACAGTCGTACTCCCGGCTCTTCCTCAACATCTGCCTCCTCAACTTCTCCACAGACGTCCGCAGCTCGTCCTTCTGCATCTCATTCAAAGGTTCGTCGTATTTGATCACCTGCAAGACGCCAGCAAATAAAGAGATTAGAGTGGCTTTGACTGAGCTGGCCAGCGATTCTGACTCAATTTTTTTTTTTAAACAAATGACTGTGACCCTTGCAATCAACCGATATAGTGGAAGAATATAGATGGATGCAGTGTCAAAAAACACAGTTGGATCATTTTTTTTGTGATGAATCAATGTATTAGAAAATTAGTTAACTTAACCCTGACATTCTCAGTTTAATAAAAAAAAAATCCAAATGTTTGTGTCATTACTTACAGTTAAGGTATTGATAGTGTAGCTATGCCGGTTAGATGCTTAGAGTTTAACCAATTGGGTTTTGTATACATTTATTAATCTTGAAACCAAAAATGTTGTTAATTCTGTGAGATGTTAAGAAACTCTTACGTAACATAACCTATACATTTTTCACACCTTGTCTTGTTGCAGGGCGTTGTACAGCGTGGCCTCGAGTTCCTGGATTTGCTGTTAATAGAGAGAAACGCAATTTTGTTCAAAGTCCCTTCTGACATCCCAGACAGATGACTGGTGTTTTCTCACATATTCCCATGTATTCTGACACTCAGCACTCCAAAGAAAACCATTACAAGTCCAAGCAGGTCTCTATAACCTGACATGACATAGGAGTGAGATGATATACAGCACAATTCTGGCAAATTCTCAATTTCACAACTCCAGGACCTTCAAGTCTTTTGAGAGACTGAAATATTAACTCTTGAACTCAAACTGTAATAAATAACAGTCTTTTCAAATATCATTGACATTATCCTAACTACAGCTCAATAACATTTCTTTTCTTTCTAGTCTCATACAAGCGCTTAGTCAGTTTTGTATGTGTGGACAAGAGTTTTTGCAATGTCGTACATGGCAAATTTAGTCAAATTGTGATTTATATTCAATTTGGGTTCATTTAACGGCTGTATGACGCTGTATTTGAACGCACCATGTAGGCCTGGTCCAGAGCCTGTTTTCTGTAGTCCAACTCCTCCTCCAGATACCCCTTCTGCTTACAGAACATTTCCTGAAAAAGACAAGTTAAAAAGTAGTTCTGTTAATGAAGTATTAATGATTTGTTGGACAAACAAAACAGACAAAACAATCAAACAAGAATGATTTTCAGATTTTCTTCAAACGAGCGCTTCTCTGGAGACGGCTCTGCTTAAAATATTTTGGAGTAATCTGATTTAATCGTAATTTGTCTTGAGTATATTTTGATTGTCTCAAATTATACAACATATTTCAAGACAACCAACTTCACTTATTAACTTACTTCGTCTCTTAGATAACAACATTTTTAGTTTTTCAATAAAAAAAATGTCCATCACAAAACATACTTGGAATCACTTGCTTGTCTCCATGGCTATTTCTACTGCTCATGTGAGAGAGTAGAGTATCTTAATGATGAAAACACAATAGTGATGGAAAATACTATACAACCAATAGAAAGTTGTTGACTAAATATATATTTAAAATGTCTATATATTACGGGTTTAAAACATTCTTTACAAACCATTTCAATCTCGAGATCCACCATTTTCTGATGCAGTGCTGCCTCTGTTCCTTCTATCTGCTGAATCCACTAGAGGGCGACACACACATTTCAAGTGGATAACTTTACTAAATACATTCAACACATTCTACAAATGACTTTATTTTATTATTTTTTGTCGCGTACCTTTTCTGCTAAAGACAGCACAGTGCTTGCTTGGATGATGGCTACTTGTTCCTCATTTCTTAGATTCTGCACAAAGAAAAGGGTGCAACAATTACAAACATTAAATGGAAATTATTAATGTAGTAATGCATCATTTTGTGTTTCTTTTGTTCATGAAAAAATACAAAAAATGTATCACAAAAACAAGAGACTCACTCCGTTGTCACCGAGTATGTCTAGAAGTTTGATTAAATCTGGAATGCACACATCCTGAAAGACAAAGAATTAAGAAAAACATGTTTATAGGTTAATATTCTGATTAGATTTGGTTTTTTCATATAAACAAGTGACATTTGTGTAGTTCCTATGCTCTTCACCAGCCTGATAGACCTCAGAAGCTGAGCAGTGCAAGGGCTGGTTAGAACTGGCATGTTGGATTGTTTTTAACTAAACTGTAAAGCACTTTGTGTTACATTTTTTATGTGAAAAGCGCTTTATAAATAAAATTTGATTGATTGATTGATTGAACTGTGATGGGAGACCTGCTGGGAACACCATGTGCCACAGTCGGCTGAGCAAATGAAACTACACTGCACAGTCTGGTGAGTGAATGATTGGTGACGCTTGAAACGATGCAGATTGTGAACCACACTTTTGTCAGTCTGCCCCAAGACACGTGTGGGTTCAAAAGTCGCTTACAGCTAGTCTACTGTTTACAAAGAGAATGAAAAAATGTGATGAAAAGTGCATTTGAGTATCCACAAAAAAAAAAAAATATATTCCTTATCAGTTTTAATGTATTACGGTCACAATATGACTTCTTGAACAGTTTGAATTTCCTTCAGGAGAAATCGAATGAGGTATTTTTATGTGCCCGCATTTCTTTTCCTTTGAAGGTAATGGTTACTGCGAAAAAAAAGATTGATCATTAACGTGATGCTGTACTTTTCTGTTAGTTTTGCTTTGTCGACTTTGCCGTTGTTATGGGTGGCAGAAAGCTGTGTTTTGTGTCTTCCTTGCGTCTGTCTGCGGTTAAACACGCTGAGGAGGAGGTACTGTATGTGTGTTACTTCATTAACTTTGGAGATCAACAGTTGAAAGAACTGTGTCCAAATCTTTCCTTAGCAAATAAAAATACTGTGGCCGTGTTTCTACATAAGCCCCAGTGTTCAAATCTGATGAAAAAAGTTGCAGCATATAGTCCAGCAATTACAGTACAACAGTTACAACTGTCTGATATGTAGAAGATATAGACATATTTTGCATTACTTTGCCTAGTTGAAACGAATAATATATTTGCAAAGGAGATCTATGTAAATCCATTATCCCCAAGAGGAAAAATGACAAAGTAGACTTTTTCATCAACTTGTCTATTGGAACAATGTTTACAGTCAGAGATGCACAAATGTAGGGAGATAAAATGGGAACTGTTGCTTTTTAGAAAATAAGATCAAGAGTTTCTTGAGGTGAGCTGTTATGAAAATATAGCGACCGTTTGGGACAAGGCGTTCTTCTGGAGATAAAGCCAAATACAGAAAAAAACAAGGAGCCATATGGTTATACAATTTAAATCCACGACACGGCGTCTAACATGGTTAAATCGAATTACCCCATAGCTCTGAGTTGTCTAGCCCATATACCATGGCCACACACTCAACATATTACAAAAACATGTTTAATCATGAATATTCACATTAAAAGTGCAGTTATGCATTTGTTTGTTTATTTGAAAGGAACAGTGCAGATTTTCATGTAAACTTCCTCACTCTCTGCCACCCTCTCCACAGTCAAGAATGAGAAAAACATTATTTTGGCTGATTCATATCTTCTTGATTTGAATTATGCGAGATTCAGCCAAAGAGACCAATTACCATATGTAGTTCAATTTAGTAACTTTAGCAAAGGTATTAAATGTAGGTGGCACACTTCTGGAGTGTGCAGTCATAAACTGTAGTTTCTTGGGAAAGACCTGGTTCCGGATCCTTCTCTGTTCATACAGTAGATCAGTAATCTCTGATGTAGCCTCCTGAGTACCTGCTTAGTGTACGAGTGAAAATATTGGGCTCTATATCTATCATCTGTACATATTATTAGCCATAGAGGAGAGATTGTTATTATTTCAATGGCAATACTGTAAAATGTAAATAAGTCACTTCTATAACAATACTGTATATTAGTTTATGAGCCAATATTCTCGTTTATTGTGATATATCTCTGTAGTATCAACATTATGACAGGTCCACATCTTCCTTAAGTTTTACCTTGACGCCCTCTTTCATGCAGTAGATCTGGAGAGCGCTGACGCCTTCAGAGAAAGGGTGCATCTTAAAATGGTTGAATGGAGGAGACCGCCTTTCACGCTCCTGTGGGAAACACAATAAGAAAGATAAGTGTAGCTCTTCAAACTGTCTAAAAAGTGACATTTTTCATATATCTAAACCATCTCATATGAGTGTGTGCAAATTTCTCTTGCAAAAAACCAAATATTTGATTACGTCACACTGGCTCTAAAGCTAAAGCACCTGACTTTCCAACAGTGATCATTCCAATCACCTAAATCTCCTTTCCAAAACCAAGCTAAAGTGAGGATTACACACAAATTCAACACATCAGAGAGCAGCACCACTGACACAGTTCACATGCAGGTCAAAGAAAGAGGAGGGAACAAGGAAAAAACAGCAACAACTTCATCTAGAGCTAAAACCAGAACTAAACCAGGTCTGGACCAAGATGAAACCATGAGTAAACCAGGACTATACCAGGACTAAACCTAAACAGGACTGAAGAATGTGTCCATATCCCTTCACCCTGAGTTCATATTTTACCATAACTGAATAAAGCTGCGTGTTGGAGGAGGATGAGGAGATAAAGGAGATTGAACTCCAACACTATCTCTAACAATGTCTGCATGAATTCATTTGGACACTAAATTAGCTGTGGAGCAGTTTTATTCAACAACGTTTGAGAAGACATTACAGCCAATCAGAACTGTGCATTTCGTTTTTTGAAGAGAGATAAGATTACATTAAAACATAGTCTTCAGAACAGACACTCTTTGCGGAAAAAAAAGAATAAAAATGTCTCTGAAACTAATTAGCCTAGTTAATTCTAGTCTAGTTTCTTATTGTTTTTTTTCCATTGAGGCTCATTATAGTCTTTGAACAGGGTCTTTCTGAGTGGAGTTTGCATGTTCTCCCCGTGTCTGCGTAGGTTTCCTCCGGGTACTCCAGTTTCCCCTACCACTGAAAACATGTGTAATAGTTCAGGGTGAATGAGTGTGTGTTTGTGAGTGTGAATGTGGGACAACGAATGCAAATTAGCCCATGGCTATAATCCGAAGTGATGTGTTCATGAACATGTACTGTCCCAACCAAATAAACGCTCCTCACCCTATCTCTAAGGGAGCGCCCAGCCACTCTGCGGAGGAAGCTCATTTCGACCACTTTTATCCGCGATCTTGTTCTTTCAGTCATTACCCAAAGCTCATGACCTATATCCATAATCTGTACAACTTATTTCTTTGCCATAATAGAGAGAGTTTAATAAGTCACGTCTATAAAATCAGAAATCTGAATTGAGTTTTTACACCTGCTTTGACAAGAAATATTGTTTTCAGAGCAGACAGTCAGATTACATAGTGCTGCTTTTACAAATATTGGTCATTGTTAAATGAAGGGACGATGTTATTGAGGCTCACTCTATATGATCTGTCCAATTTATTTTGATTTGTCTTGTGGCTTTAAAATAGTCTGTATTTATTAAAGGACCATTTCAGGATGAGACATTATACACTGGTGTCTTTAGTGATGCTTTAAGAAAATACTTCCTCTATAAATGATGCCAATCCTCTGACAAAGGCTCTTTTACAGACATGTGACCTGCGTGTCCAACCACTTAGTTAGACCAGCAACATGATCTCTTGGATCAAAATCCCTTACATCGCTGGGCCATTGCCAAAGCCTATAACCTGAACCTTAAGGACAAAGGTTCAAGATATGTAAATGTAGACTATATCACTTTTCTTAATATAATGATAATAATAATAATTTCAGAGATTTTGGTACTACATCGAATTATTTTTAAAAACAGCAAAAACATTTTTTTATCCAACACATAATCAAATAAACTGCTTCAAAAGTTCTGCACAATGACTAGAGTAATGCAATAGTCAAATTCTATCTATGCTTTGTTCCTTGCTTTATATTTAGAGGTGTTCTTGTTTAATTGTGTTGTTTATCTGTGCTGCTCCTGAGAGGACTTCAACAAAAGACGAAGTAGGCTTAGGCCCCTAACTTAGAATATCTTACTTACACTTAGGGTGTCTGCTAAATCGAAGATATTTTACTTCGTTTGGACCTGTCACCCGCATGAAAAAATTTCATAAATTAATATTTTTTAAAAAACTCAAAGTCAAAAAGTGAAGATTTTTGAAAACTCTCCTTATGCATTTGCGATAACCAGAGTTTTGTGTTTTTGAATGTCAAAATATGCGCCAACACAACAACAACAAATCTGCTCTGCCGCCAAACGTGTGAAGCGTGCAGAAGCATGCATCTCACTTCTATGAAAACAGGCGCTGTTTTCAAGAAGGATTTTACAAGGCCGACTACTGCTACTTCACAGGTGACAGCTAACATTGCGGTCTGTGATTTACCTGCTCATAAACACTCCAAATAGGCAAGTTCCTCACCGGTTTTGGATCAGACCGGGACGCACTGCCAGCTGTTTTGAAAACTTTGGGATGGAAATCATATTCCCAGAGGAATGGCGTGACCATTTACGTATGTTCCAGTCCTCACATCGATGATGTGATTGAAAACGCAGATGTTCATTTATGTGGAAGAGTTTTTCGAAAACAAGGTATTGTGGTTAAAAAATATTTTATAAACGAGGGGGGAATTATTTGGTTTTAAAAATACCCGGCTACGTGTATACATAGCCTTAATAGGACTTTCTTGGTTAAACAAATCGGGTCCAGCAGAAACTTCAGTATAAATGCATACATTACAAGAACATTCATATTTTTAAAGCCAGGCTCAAGACACACCTTTTTAGATTAGCTTTTGATTAGTATTTATTAGTCCATTTTTATATATTCTATTTATCTTTTATTATTTATTATATTGCTATTGCTTTTATTCATGTTTTGTGTGATAGTTCCTTTCAGGCTCACATTTTAGTGTTTTACTTATTGTATTGTTTTTAGTATCCCCAGTGTTTCCTCTGGAGGAGCCCTCTGCGCTGGGAGCGGTGGTTGGCTGTGGCTGTGGGGGCCTCGGTTTTGGGTCTCCTCTGGGTCCTGTGTCGTCCCCTTTGGCTATGGGCGGCTCTCTGCTCCTGGCGCTGACGGCTCCTTGGATGGCGTTTCTTCAGCCGGTTGCATCTGAACCCTGCCAAGTCTCTTATCATCGTTTTATTGTTTTATCGGTGCGTGTGTGTGTGTGTGCGCGTGTGTGTGTGTGTGTGTTGGGGGGGGGGGGTGTTTGCTTGTGGTCTGGGGAGGGTCTGTTGGGCGGTCGGGGGGAGGGCATGGGCAGGGCATGGGCAGGATTGTTTTTTAGCCAAACTGTAAAGCACTTTGTGTTGCATCTGTTGTATGAAAAGCGCTTTATAAATAAACTTTGATTGATTGATTGCTCAAAAACATATTTGAAAAATAGATATGATGTGATGTACTGGCAACCACCAGACCTGCAAAATTGATGTCTTTTTGAGCTTGATTGCACAACATTTTAAGAGTTTGCCATAGGTCCATCCAATAAAAAGTCCAGGTTTTATCTTCTTAAATCTTCAACTCAGAGAAAATGTAAGGGAACAAGTCGCTGATTTGGGCTCTGTAACTTGCGGTAACATGCTTTATATTGCATTTTGCACAACACTGATTCACTGAATGTTCATTGAATCGGCATTTTATCAGTTCTGGATGCAAAAACATGTGATTACTTCCAGTTAAGATAGCATCTATAGGTTTTTTGAAAATGACACAAAATTAGCCAATTTGGATCATATTCTTGTATCAATAATACACTGAGACTGTATTGCTGGGTGTCTACTGCATGAAATGTTTTAGTCTTATACTGTACATTTCACACGTCACACATGGGAAGAGTCCTGTGTGTGTTTCTTTTGTTTGTGCCCAGTGTGTGACAAAAGTAAGGCGCATATGGTCACGAGTTTATATTAGCTACATTAGCCACAGATGCTACTAACATTTTCTGGCCACAAAGACCCTCACAATCAGAACTCTCTCTTGCAGACGGCAAAAAAATGTTGCACTCCCAATTTACACCAATCCTCTTGTTTTCGGGACATAGACGAACAGGTTACAAGTAAAAATAGCTTTTCATTGTAATAAAAAATGTGCGTATTACAAGCACATTCTTGGGTTTTATATGACGTCAGGGCAGTGGCGCAAATAACAAACGCGGGACAGGACTTGACGTACCCTAGCACTGGAGTCTGCCGGGTATATACACAGAGAAGCGCTGTCAAAATCCCATATTTTTGTGCGGTGTACGCTTGTAGCAACCGCGCAAATAGAGAGAAAGACAAGAGTTTCTTCCGTGTTCCAACTGTGGTCTAATATAAAGGAGTACATGTTCAAAAAATCACCCAAATGAGGCAGGTGAGGTGTAAGTAAGAAAGTCTTCTTTATTTATATACCGCCTTTCACATACTAGAGTCACAAAGCGGTTTACAATTGTTATTTTTGGGCATTTGTCTCTCACTCCACACAGAGATGGGAGCGGGTCACCAGTACAGGAGGCGCATGCCAGACCTATTGTGCATGTTTTTAGTGGTAGAGGAAATTGGAGTACCCGGAGGAAACCTACACAGACACGGGGAGAACATGCAAACTCCACTCAGAAAGACCCTGGTCCGACCGGGATTTGAACCCAGGACCTTCTTGCTGAGAGAGTAGTGCTATCCTCTCAGCCACCGTGCCGCCGGTGGATCATGGACACCCAAATGAAACGCAGCAATTTCTTCTGTTTTTCTTTCCAAAAATGCCCAAAATCAAGACTCTTTTGAGAATTTTTTTTTAGTACTCCTAGAATTGAGAACGTACGGTTGTACACGGTTGTACACCACACAGGAGAAGAGCCTTTTGACTCCAAAACAGACACGATTTACATGGTTTTCAATGGGAGCAAAACTGAGTTTGCTCATTCGCCCCCTACAGGCCAGTTTAATGAAACCCAAGAATTTACATTATGAGACGCTATGAAACGGATGGATTCCTGTTTTTATACAGTATCCTACAAATCCTGGGTCATGTTAGGCTTGTGATTCAGTGGTCAGAAAAGCTCTCTCCAGTTAAGAACCACTACTCTTGCCTTTGTTTTCCCAGTACCAAAGTGTGACCTTGTCTGGGGCACACTCGAGTACTTTTGCACATGTATTCCAATGGGGTTTTACTGCAAATGACAAATTAACTAAATCCGAACCTGAATCTAAGGCGAACACGGCAACTGCAACAGCAAGACAAATATTGGAAATATATGTAAAAAAAAAAAATAATCTGTGATGGGTGATCTCTACCTCCAGCTCCAGAATCCGGAACTCTAACAGTTCGTTCTGGTCCCTGGAGTCCTGAAGCTCCTCTTGCACACGGAAGGATTCACTCTCCAGTTTGTCCATCTGAAAATCATACAAATATATTTGTTTGATAGCATGAATTAATGTGACTTTTTTTTTGTGATTTTGAATTGTTTGACTTTACTTGGAAAGATTACACATGTTGTAAATGTAAATGACTGTATATCAAAAAACGTTGTTGATAATTATATGGAGTTAACCTGAAACATTCCCACATGTACTGTACTGTTTTTCTAATCTTGATTTATTCATGGTTTAAATGAAATACTGGCTGCAAAAATGCTTTCAGATAAATCTATGCCATCATCTCTCTGATATACATGTTGCAGAATGTGTAGGTTTAAATGAAGTTGTAACCTTGTCTATTAACTCCTGATTCCTTTGTAGAAAAAGCTGCTTCTCCTCCACCCATTTGGAGTCCTGGAAAGAAAATATGTATTGTTTTATTGACTGCTTCAATAAGTGAAAAACAAACCTGAAGTTAAAATTTTACAATCAATACGTTACATGTAGAAAAAAGTAACTTTTGGCAGAACATTTAAGGAGTGACAGAGACTTACCTGTCCTTTATGAGCCAGCTCTTTTTCCAAATCCTCAATTTTGGCTTTGTACCTGAGAACTTCTGCTTTAATTTGTTCTTGAGCCTAAGAATGAAATTTTAAAAAAGTAGATGATTATTGTTTGTTACTCATAAGTGACTATGAATGGAAAATATATATGTAAGGGATAATGTATAGTACGCAGGTCATTATCGGAGTAATTTACACATCTGAATTACAAGCAGAGGTTGCGTTGCCACGTCATCGTTGTTTTGAGAGGTCGGTTATCAAGAATTAATGACCGGTAGAACGTTTTGAGATTACATACAAATCAATGGAGCGTTCTACTGCTGCTGTGAGGAGCCGTGTAATAAATATATATAAAAAAAATATAATTTACCATACATAGCATTAGTATTCACTCTCAGTTATGTTTTAGAGATGATCGACATGACCCCGAAAAAAATATTATTAACTTGCAAGCACTGTTATATAATATAAAACAGATATTCAAAGCTAAATTACTCAAGAAAACAACCATGTGATTTGATTTATTTTAACTATCAAAATCAGTACAAGTCTACAAAAGGAGTTATTAACATACTGCCTGTGGGTCTATCTATCGAACAATCTGATCCAGTTTTGGTTCAAGCCAAACACTAAAGTGTTCCTTTAGCCAAAATACCTCAGTGATGCAAAGAATATAGTTTAAAATATAATATGATATAATAACAAAAACTAGCTAGAGTTATACACACAGGGTGCAATGCTGTAACATTCCAGGGTAAAAACAGGATATTTTATAAATTCGGACCCTGACCATGAGTTTGACATCACTACTTGAATGATTTTCCTCAATAACAATATTTGAACACTTTGGTGGGGAGGTCGGGCACAGGCTCTCAGCAAACAGCAATAATGGATGAAGAGAGCAGTAAAAGTAGTGGACTGGCCTTTGCCTCGATCTCTGCGTCCAGCATTCCACCTTTCTGTTCCTGCAGGAGTGCGTATGCGCGCTGCAGAGCCTGGTACTCGCGGGTCAGCTGACGGAACCGCAGCTCCGACTCCTCGCTGGCTCCGCCCTGGTCATCCACAAACAAGCAAGTTCAAGGGTCAGAACATTTATGTTTTGTAGATAAATAACTGCGACAGTAGCTCAGTTGGTAGAGCATTGGCCTTTGGGCCTGAAGGTCGTGGGTTCGAGCCCACCATAAGACCTACTTCACGACTCCCACTGATGACTGCTGTTTTTGTGTCCTTGGGCAAGACACTTTACCCCACTTTGACTGAAGCCCCTGCTGGAAGATCAAGGCTCCTGTGGACTCACCACCTGCAGGAGGATCAGTGAGGGACTGGTGCTATGTGTCCTGGGTGCAGCTTTGACTGCCACCCCCCCAACCCAGAAACAGATTAAGGGGAAGAAAATGGATGGATGGAGATAAATAACTGTATAAAGGGATTGCAGTGAGTCATATTTATTTATATACTGCTTTTCACAGACCAGAGTCACAAAGCGGTTAACAATTGTGGGCATTTGTCTCTCACTCCACACAGAGATGGGAGTGGCGTCCCCAGTACAGGAGGCACATGCTAGAACGATTGCACATTTTTTGAGTGGTAGGGGAAGCCGGAGTACCCGGAGGAAACCTACGCAAACACGGAGAGAACATGCAAACTCTACTCAGAAAAGCCCTGTTCCGACCGGGATTTAAAGCCAGGTCCTTCTTGCTGAGAAGCGAGCTATCATCTCGCCCAGCAGGGCCAGCTATTATTCCATAACACAATTTTATTGAAAAGTAAATGTGTCTCAGTCTCAAACCATTTGTCGCACTTACAATTGTGGGCTTCAAATGTTTGATAGTCTGCACCATACAGGACAGGTTTTATTGTCTCTGTATTGTTTTTGTAAACCCCCCTAATTGTCAATGACCACTAATAACAGAAGTAGCCCATTCTTGCCTCTGATTGGTTGCTATGAAGTTTGCTATGTGAGAATTTGGCTCCCTATTCCCACCCATTGTAGGTGGTTGAAAAGATGAAGCATATTGAGCCATTTTGCTGAATCAAAATAACACATTAAACAAATAAAAATTAGCAAAAAATTAATTCCAGAAATCAAAGGAACAAAAAATTGACAACATCAAAAACAGTGAGCACCTCAAACAGCATTAACATTTGATGGAAGACTCACCATATACATTTTGCTGTATGCAACCATTATACGTGGAATTATGATATAGTTTTGATATCACGTGTAGCCCCAATAACATCTTTAATGGATTTGAGAGTTTTGTCATTACTCACATCTTCTATATCCTCGTCTGGAGTGGCGGGAGTCCGGTCCATTCGAAAAGAGGCTACGGACGACGTCTCTGAATCCATGGACTCTTCATCGTACCCAAAAAACGTGTCCACTACAATATGTCTCTGTGAAGGAAGTCCTCAGTCATTTCATGGACAAAACACACAATGACCAATGTCTTCGTTTAGTTTTACCTTAATAGGCCTGGAACTTCTTTTATGCCTTTTCTTTCTGAGGAGCTTTTCTCTGTCCTGGAAAAAGGGTAACAAAATAAAGAAGGGCTGTTTAATTGTTGTATTTGTATGTGTCCTAAATATTTGTTTTTTCTAATCTGCTGCTGACAAGTTGTCAATTCTTCCAGACGACTGCTTCTACCATTATGTGTGATAAAAAAACAGAATGAATCAAGCATACCCTGGCCAGCTCATCAATCATGCTTTGTTGTTCAAGAACTTGCAGTTTCAGAAAAGCAATTTCCTGGTCGTCTTGAGCTTGGTCCAAATCATTTAACGACTTGAGTTTCTTGAGCGGAGGATGTGAACTCATCTTTTCTTTCTGCACACGTAACACATAAAGCCGTTTTAGCCCTGCTGCCCTTAAAACATTGCGTAACATTTACTCACCATTTCTGAGTTCTCCCTGGACAGAGTCTTGAGTTTTTCTTCCAGCTTTTGGATTGTCTGACTCAAGTCATCATTTTTTTTGTGGAGCAGTTTGTTCTTCTCAAGCAGAGGCTTGGACTGCTTTTCTCCTTCTCTAACACGCTTTACCTGGAGAAGAACCACAAAGAAGATTTCTTAAATGTTCACAACATCTGTCTATGATATATACTGTATAATTGTGAAACTTGGAAAATGTGATTATTGTTCAAAAGTTAATTTAACCTTGTAGGACCCAGACATGAAAATATTTATGTCTAAGAAAAATGATCAGTACTATATTTGGAAAGCAGAGTTCAATGACCAAACGTATTTGCTTCTTTGGTACTAACAAAGGTTTGTTAGTGCTTTAAACCAAAAAGTCCTACTTCTTTTGCCAAAACCGTTGAACTTTATGTTGCATACTTGCAACCGAGGGTGCTTCATTTAAAAAAACATTTAACGTTAACCTTTGTTTGTTATTGGTTGTGAACCATAATGATCACAATTCTAACAACAAAATTCATGAATTTTAAATCTCACTTTGATAATTATGTATCAGTTTCAAGATAGATGGTCTTTTAAATTATATTCTAATTTTCAGAGTTTCAGAGTTCTGTTACTAAACTATACAAATATCTTTTATCAGGTATTAGGCCCAGTTACTTTTTTTTTAAATCAAAACAAAAAACACAATACAAAATATGACTTATCTAATCAAAGCAACTAATTTTGCCTCTTTATATTATGAAATATCACTGTTATGTTGTATTCACATACAGTTGGTTACAACAGGGTTGAGGCAAATATTTTCTCTTTAGGATTACTTACTTACTTACTTTTATTGATTCCCTTTCGTTTAAATAGGGGGAGACGATATGAAGCTTACGTATGGGAAAATGTCCGACGGCCACATGTACATGTAAGTAAGTAAGTAATGTTTATTTATATAGCGCATTTTACAGCCCAAGGTCACCCAAAGCGCTTACAATGTTCAGAGTTCAGATATTGTTCCAATCATTCCACACACGGTGATGACAGAAGCGAGTCGCCGAACACACTGGTACATCAGCCCCCAATCAACACCATCCATTCACTCTCTCATTTACATTCATAATGTACCTATTGGGCATATTTTTAGTAGTAGGGGAAACCAGAGCACCCGGAGGAATCCTACGCAGACACGGGGAGAACATGCAAACTTGACTCAGAAAGGCCCTGTTCCGACAGGGATTCGAACCCAGGACCTACTTGCTGAGAAGCGAGAGTGCTATCCACTCAGCCACCGTACGGCCATGTAAATCAGGCCGTATGTGGCCCCCAGGCCGCCCCCGGGCCGCACTCTGCCTCAGGTCTAGGTCATAACCTGACTATACGCTGTGCTGTTTAGGCTGTTTACGCACAGTTTAGTCTTGTCTTTCATATCTGTTAAGTGTTTCCTCTAGAATGTAAGTTAATTGGCCTAATCTTATTTCAATAAATTCAATGAAAATATTGTAGATCAGCACATGACATACTTTCATCATCTTTCATCATCATAAACTGGGGTCAAGGGGAAAATTCAATTCACAAAGGCCAACATTTCCAAGAATGCAACACAATTGATTGTAGAAAGTGCTTCTAGTGCTTCTAAACAAAATGAGAACGTTTACCAGTTCATTCCTCTCGTCAACCAGCAGTGAATTACGATCTTCCAGTTTGCGTATTGTTGCGTTAAGATCTGCGACACGCCTCTGGTTTCTTCTCATGTCCTGTAAAATAAACACTATTGATTCAAGTTTGGCCAATTCAAGACACATTCAGGTCCCAAAAGGGATTTTCTGTGTGAACATTTTCTGGTGTTTTGTTTTGGCTTAGGTTTATATCCTGTTTTATTTTGTAAATGTTTCTCTTCTAGTTCTACTTCCTGTGGTTTTAATACCTGCCCTTCCCTCATGTGTATGGTCTAGTGTATTTATCTGATTCCTGGGTGATACCACATAAAACAAAAATATGACAAAGAAGTTCAACATTTTCTTTGTCAGCACTTACCAATTATAAGTATAAATGCTTTCACATAAAGATAAGTAGAAATAGTTGGAATATTAAAAAACACATGCATGATGTTTGTCATAGAACAGACCATTGAGAGTTTACTTGTTGGTTCTGTGTCTGTGTGGTTTGGTAACATCACAGTGACATTTGTTCTGTTTTATTTGTTTTTATTCCTGTCTTTTAATGTTATTTTATGTCTGTATTTGTCTGTGCACACTGGAGACTTTTTGCTAATGTATTCCAATGTGTTTTTTTACTGCAAATGGCAATAAATAAATTGAAATGAACTGAACTGAACTTATAATAGATAATACAATACATAGTTTACATTTTTAGCACAGTGTTGATGTCATAAAACTCGGGAATGTTGACACAAAGTAGTTATTTGTAAACCTAAAATGTTCCATGGTGTTTTTTTATTTTATAACCAATAAAATATGTTTAGTTTGGAGTAATAACAATAATATAACTTGCCAAGTTGTATGCTCATTTCAAGCAAGACAAGGACTTCTTTATATCAAAACCTCCCACTCGATAATGCACATTAAACGGTGTTGGACTTAATTCTTTCTCATGGAGGAGACAGAAGAAACTCTCAAAGTACTGCGTATGATAAAGAGCAGTCAGTGGTGTGCAAAAGAGCATTCCTTTATAAATCATTGGTTGTTTGGATAAGACATTTCAGTTAAATAAATTAAATGGGAGACAAACACAGTGGTATGTGAGAAGATAAATAAAGTCTATACATATTACAGACAGTATGACAAACCATAGGGAAAAAACAATCACATACATCCTATAATCATATAACTCAGGCTGTCAGGTTATGCAGCTCCCGGCCATATTTACCAAACCATCTTTACTTTTCCCGGAGCAGGTATTTCCAGGAACCTTATGTTAACTTTGGGCGGATCGGTGGACCACAAACAGAGTCAGACTTACTGGACTCCCACAGTGCTCTGCTCCGTCGCCCACTCTGCCAGGGATCTCTCGTTTGGGGCTGCCCAGACCACACTCTGCCTCCTTCACCAGAAACAGCTGCTCGTCCAAAGCGTCTTTCTGCAGCTGTAGCTTCTGCAGGAACCCAGATGTGTTCTCCAACTCTTTCTCAAGAGAAAAGATGGTGCGGTCTTTGGATTTGATCTCATCCACCTATGGCAAGAAAAGGCAACAAAAGTTAATTACAAGTTCAGTTTACTCTGACACCATGATCTGCACAGAATTAAAATATGAAGTGATAATGGCTTGAATCAAGTGGTTATTAATCTTATTTTGAGTACATTTTGCCAATAGTACAAGCAATGTACAGTAGTCTTATTTCAAGGCCTGTTGCATTATTTTCTCATTCCAAGGGAGAGATTTCTTGTATCTTTTTAGATACAAGATAATTTTGCTTGTCTCATTACTACATGTTGTTTTAAGGCGGTCAAAATGTGCACAAATTAAAATACATTTTGCCAAATTTGAGCATTTAAAAAAAAAAACGTATTTTCATCACTTTAGTCACTGCATACAAATACAATACCTAAAAGGATTCTTTCATGTGACATCACAAGATTTCAAAAAGCCTTTAGTTTAACTTTGCGGTGTAGGGCAGCTGAATAACTCTAAACTTTGTTTTCAACTGATTCTCTGTGATCCCTGGGCCCATCCACGTGAAACAAACGGTCACAGTCCAGATCTAACCTTGAACCATGTAAATCGAATCACTATCAAATAATGATCTGTTAAAATATTTGGACATTTTCATTTTCATGGTTTAAAAAAAACATTCTCCAACATGAAAACAACCCATTTGCTGTGACAGAATAATGCAACTAAATATTAAATATGTCAATGTGAATGTATAAAAGATTATGTGAAATGGCTGGTTGATCATAATTACCCAAAAACAATACTAATATTTTTTTGTTGTTGCTATTTTAGGAATAAAATCTGTGAAAGAAGAATTCCAAGAATTAGAGACTTTGCTAGTCCCGTGCAAATGGCTGTCACGCTACCAAACAGGAGACACCGGGGACACCAACACCACAAACCACACACACACAAACAAAATCAAAAATACAAATTGCGAGACACAGTGGGGCACATATAAAACTCTTAAAAGCATGATTGAAAAACTACGAAGATGCTTCAAAGGGAAGCAGATATCAGGGCGCTCTGTTCAGTCTTATAACCGCCTGAGGGAAGAAGTTATTCGCATGGCGGGTGGTCCGGCACTGCAAGGACTGGAATCTTCTCTCCGAGGGAAGAGGCTAGAACAAGGCTGCTCCAGGACGGATAGAAGAGTCATTCAGGCTGAGGTCACATGCGCAGCCTAAAGCCCGGTTAAAGTGTGCCAAGGCCCGCTTCGCGATTAGATCCGGGCTTTAGGTGCCATCTGACCGCGGCATTTGCGCCAGAGCACAATTCCTGGACTCGTGCTCTGGCTCGGTTAAAAACTGCGGCCAGGGCCCGCTTCCCTGCGCTGATGAGGGGGGTCAGTGTGACGGGTGGTGGGGAGTGGGGGATTAGGTGCGGAGAGGACTTCACATTACGTCTTCCTTTAACACGCATTTTCACACACATCTCTCCTGCACTTTCGTATTCTCCGCTTGTGTTAAACCTGTCATATAAGCCCACGTACTGTGCTGGAGGGGCGCTGGGGGAGTGTCTCTCTGCAGAGCCAAAGAAAAGCGTTTCCTACGGGTATAGCTCTCTTCTGTCCTGACCCTCGCTCTCAGTGGGGTGCTATTGCAATAACACTTCAGACATGTTTTTCAGTGGAGTAAAGAAAACAATCTCCAGCTGAACACAGCAAAAACATGTGAACTCGTTTTTGATTTCAGTCGTAACAGTTCTCACACTCCTGTTGTTATCGAAAACTTCCAGGTGCAGATTGTAGAGGAGTGCAAGTTCCTGGGTTTAACTCTGTCTAATGACCTGAAGTGGGACAAAAATACTAACCGGGTCGTTAAGAAAGCTCGTCAGTGGCTCTTCTTTTTGCGGAAACTTAGAAAATTTTCCAATAACTCTAAGATTCTGCTTAGCTTTTATCGCTGCAACATTGAGAGTTTACGTGTTGGTTCTGTGTCTGTGTGGTTTGACAGATAAGGAGAGCTTTAAACAAGGTGCTCCGCTATGCAAAGAGGACTGTGGGCTGTGAGCTTCCTGTTCTGAAGGTTCTTTATGAATCCAGACTTTTAAACCGAGCTCTTAAAATCATCAATGACTCTTCTGGCCACCCTGGGAAAGCTATGTTCCAGCTTCTTCCCACTGGCAGAAGATATCGGTCGCTGAGATGCAGGACTACTCGCTATGCTGACAGCTTCTTTCCACAAGCTGTTAGGTGTCTAAACAGAGCACTTTAATTCCTGCTTTTACCCCTTGTATCGTTTTTGTTGATCGGTGCCAGAATGTCAGTTGTTTTTTTATTTTTTTATTTTCAGTGTATGTGTATGTGTATTTTATATTACATTGTATCATGCTCTTTATTCTGTCGGTGCACAGAGAGTACCTTTTTTTGCAAATGTATTCCAATGTAGTTTTTATACTGCACATGGCTAATAAAATGAATCTGAATCTGATTCAAGAATCAGTCTTTATTTAATCACCAGAACACACACACACACTTGTAACTTCCCTGTCTGCGGTCGCTCTGCTCATATGCCACACTTTTCATTCCTTCATTCTCATTCATTCATTTCTCAGCACTTACGCTCGTTGCTAAAGAGTATGTGTGTGTGTGTGTGTGTGTGTCCGCGGCGCGCACACACACACAAACATGTGCACACACGTGTTACCCACTGAACTGCTGAACTTTGCATCAGAGCAATTTGGACAAGTGTGAGATGTGTCTTTCCCTAAACCTAATCTACAGTAGCTGTAGCTGTTAGCTACGGTAGCAAAATGTAAACAGGAAAATAAGCGGATCTCAACCAGGGCAACGAGGTAGTCTCTGGTGTTAGTATTAGCGCCACCAGCTGGACCGAGTGGTTTACTACAGCACAATTTCCTTGGCACGGTTTAGACAATACGTTCATGTGACCGCGAGCCGTTTTCACAGCCCTGTGGCGACGATGCGGGCCACTTGGCCTAGTTCGTTTGTAAAAACCTATGTGACCGTGCCCCTACAGTACAATCCTCAGGGCTCGGTTTAAGAGAGCCCTGAGGATTTAAAATGAGAACTGCTGAGCCTGTAAATGTCCTTCATCGAGTATATAAGTAAATACTGCAATAATGTGCAATACTGCAACTTCAGAATCTCCACTGTAAGTTACGCTGCCCTATATGTACAGTATATAATTAATAGTTACCTAATGTAACTTAAGTTCTACGAATAGGTGCGTAGTCCCTTAGGACTTCGCTAGTGGGATATCACGTGACCCCCAGGTCACAGACGCCAGAGAGATCAAAATAATTTGCTCCAATCACCAGCCACCTTCCTCTATAAATGCCCCTGCACAAGGCCGCACCCCCTCTTGAACTCTGCCAAGCCGGGCTGGCCTGATGGGCTCGTAGCTAAGGGACTACGCACCTATTCGTAGAACTTAAGTTACATTAGGTAACTATTAATTCTACGTCATGGTGCTACGTCCCTTAGGACTTCGCTAGTGGGACACAACGCGGAGGCCGTAGGAACATGTACTCCCAGCAGGCCAGCGAAGGGTGATTGGAGCTCCGCCCGAGCAAGACCCTCACACCGTGAGAGGACTCAGGGCAGAAGAAACAAAGCGTGTTACCGGGCCACTCCTACCAAGGACGCCCCCACGTAACACCAATCGTAGATCAACCGTAGTCACAGGACGCCTCTCCCAAGAGCTCCTGATGTAGACTACCAGACCGATCAAACACACATACATGTACCGCACCTGTAGGATGCCTCTCCCAAGAGCTCCTGCACCAGGGCGGAAAAATAGACCGAAGGCCCACTCCTCAGGGGAGGGACCCAACGGTCCAACTCAATCCGCTGCACTCAGCACGGAATGGGCCACCGACCGGTCCGACACATCCGAAAGATAAGACCGGACGAAAGAGGAGGACGACGCCCAAGAAGCCGCACGGCAAACGTCCTCGACCGACGCCCCCCTGAGAAGGGCCGTAGAGGCCGCCATCCCACGCGTGGAATGCGACCTGAAACCCACCGGGGGGGCCAGGCCCTGCGCCTGATACGCCCGTCGCACCGCCGTGGCGACCCAATGCGCCAGCCGCTGAGCCGACAGCGGGGCGCCCCTGTTCTTGGGGCCCAGACACACAAACAGCTGATCACCCGACCTGAATGACGACGTCATGGCCAGGTAATGCCTCAGCATTCTGATAGGACACAGAAGGTGCTGCCGCTCCTCCTCGGGGGAGGCATGCGGCGGCGGGTGGAAAGCCCTAATCCTGATCACTCTTGACCTAAAGGCCGACGTGATGACCTTGGGGAGAAAAGCCGGATTGGGCCACAACTCCACCATGCCGTCGTCCTCTCCAAAGGACAGGCACGACGCATGGACTGAGAGCGCACACAAATCGCCCGCCCTTTTTGCAGACGCCAACGCCAGCAAGAGGGCCGTCTTAAAAGCGATACAATCGGGACTCGCCTCCGCCGCCGGTTCAAAAGGCGAACCCGACAGCCCCCTAAGGACCACCCTGAGGTCCCAAACCGGAGGCGTTCTCTGGAGCGGGGGCCTCCTCCTGCGCGCCCCCCGCAGAAAACGTTTAATCAACGGGTGAGAGCGGGCTGTGAACCCCCCGAACCCGTCGTGACCTGAAGTAATGGCTGCCGCAAACACCGCCAAGGTAGCGACAGCCCTCCCCTTGTCGAAAAGCTCCTGTAGGAATCCCAGGACCCCCTCCAGCGGGCAAAACCTGGGATCCCAGGAACGGGAATCGCACCAGGCACTGAATAGCCTCCACCTCGTGGCGTAGGCCCTCACGGTGGACGGCGCCCTCGCTCCCTGAATTGTCTCCACCACCGCAGGGGGAAGACCCAGATCTACGAGGCTCCGCCTCTCAACCTCCAAACCCAGAGCCTGCGGCCGATTATCGGACGTGAAAACAGGGCTCCTGCCCCCTGGACTAGAGCCCCCGGCTCGTCCGGGAGGGCCCAGGGCTCCATCACCGCCATGCCCCTCAGGAAGGGGAACCACCGGGCATGCGGGCTGTCCGGAGCCACCAGAATCACCGACCTCCTCTCCTGTTCGATCCTCCGCAGTAGGACCGGCAGGAGACGCACCGGTGGAAAAGCGTACAACAGGCCGCCTGGCCATGGGTAATGAGCCAGAGCGTCCACGCCTAAAGGCGGCTCGTCCGCGGCCCTTAAGGCGAACCAGGACGGGCACTGTGCGTTCTCTGCACTGGCGAAAAGGTCGACTACTGGACGACCGAACCTCCGCCAGATCTCCGCGGCTACCCGTGGGGCCAGGCCCCACTCGTCCTGGAGTGGGCCCCCCCTGGACATCCTGTCGGCTCCCACGTTCCGGACCCCCGGGACGTGGCGCGCCCTGAGAGACAGGAGGTGAAGCGCCGCCCACAGCAGCGTCACCGTCGCCATGCGATGGAGAGCGGGGGACCTGGTGCCCCCCTGCCTGTTCAGATAGGAGACCACTGTGGTGTTGTCTGAGCGCACCATCACGTGTCTCCCCTGCAGCTGAGGGGCAAAGTGCAGCAGTACTCTGTGCACTGCCTCCTCCATCTCCAGCAGGTTGATGTGACGGGCTGAGTCCGACCAGCAGCCTCCTACAGAGCTCTGGCCGAGGACCCCGCCCCATCCTTCGAGCGACGCGTCCGTGAACACCTCGGCGTGAGACACAGCGCAGGCCAGAGTCACTCCGTCCCGCAGTAGACCCGGAGTGAGCCAGAACCTGATGTCCGATGCTGCCCCTTGGGGAACCCAGATCAGCCTCCCCCCGTCCCGGGAGGGGTGAAGCCTGAGGCGCGAGAACCACCTCTGAAAATTTCTCATGTGGAGCAGGCCTAGCCGCACCACAGCATGAGCCGCTGCCATCATCCCCAGCAGGGACCTGAGGCGCCGAGCGGGAACTCTGGGGCCCGCCAGAACCTCCCGGGCCAGACGGGTAATATTCGTCCGTCTGTCCACGGACAATGCAGCACGGAATATCACAGAGTCTAGCTGCAGACCGAGGTAAATCATGCGTTGGGCTGGCTGCAGCTTGCTCTTCTCCCTGTTTCACCACAAAGCCCAGACGCTGTATGTGGGACAAGACCCATTGCGTGTGGCTCACGGCCACTTCCCTGGATGGGGCCAGTATTAACCAATCGTCTATATAGGTCAATATTCTTACCCCGGCACGTCTGATCGGCTCCAGAGCCGCTTCCACACATTTGGAAAAAGTGCGAGGCGCGAGAGCGTACCCGAAAGGGAGACGGCAGTACTCGTAATTCCTCTCTCCCACTGCGAAGCGCAGAAATCTCCTGTGTTCTGGCACTATGGGTACGTGGAAGTATGCGTCTGTCAGGTCTATGGATGTCATCCAGTCTCCTTCCCTGACACACTCGAGGAGCTGCCTTGTGGACAGCATCCGAAACTGCCGTTTGGAAATGCACTCGTTTAACACGCGCAGATCCAGAATGGGACGCACCCCGCCTGATTTCTTTGGCACCAGAAAGTAAGGGGAGTACAGCCCCCTGGTGGCGTCCTGCGGGTCTACCTCCACTGCTGCGCCTCGACTCAGCAGGGAGGAGACCTCTGCTTCCAGTGCCTCTGTCGATCCCCGTACCTGAGAGCGTACTGCCCGTACGCCTCGGAATGGTGGTGGCTTTCGGAAAAATTGCAGAGCGTAACCTCTGCGCAGAGTTTTCTCCAGCCAAACATCTGACAGTAAGCCCTGCTCCTTCCAGATGTCGTAGAAATCTGTGAGGGGCGGAACGGGAGCTGGAACACGAGACGTCATGGCCCCGCCCCCTCCTGGTGTTCCTAGCAGGGAGGGGGGGGTGGCTGAAAGGGCCGGGGGGGCCCCTGCGTCACACCGTGAGCGCCGAGGGCGGTCACGTGTTCTGCAGGTCCGACGTCATAAGTACGGGACTGCTCACCACACGTGACCCGGCTGCTGCTGCGCCCCCCCCTGGCTCTTGCCTCATGGAGGGGGGGGCGAGCCCCTGCATCGGGAAACCCCGTGTTAGCATTGTAGCTCTGCTCATCACGCGTGACACGGCTGCTGCGCCCCCCCTTGGCTCTTGCCTCATGGAGGGGGGGAAGAGCCCCTGGATTAGGAAACCCCGTGTTAGCAATGTAGCTCTGCTCATCACGCGTGACACGGCTGCTGCGCCCCCCCTTGGCTCTTGCCTCATGGAGGGGGGGGAGAGCCCCTGGATTGGGAAACCCCGTGTTAGCCTTGTAGCTCAGAGATGCTAACACGCTAGCGCCCGGAGCACACACATTAGCACTTATCAGATCCCTCCGCCTGCCCTCTCTCCGGGAGGGCAAAACATGAACCCGTGAATCGGAGCTCGTGGTCTGCACAGCGCGCTGCACGCCCTTCTCTGGGGGCTGCAGGCCTGGCGGAGCCACGTTATATGCTCGAGAAGTAACACAAACAGAATTCAAATCATTTGACATGTTACATACCCCCAAATGAGACTCAGACAGCGAGTACTGGTGAAATGCCGGACGGCCTTTATTGAAAGAGTTTTTACCACCCCGACCTCCTCTACCGTAGGGAGGCCGTCGATGGGTGTGTTGGTCCCGCGAACCTCCCGTGTGCCTGTCTGGGCCCGGGGGTCTCGCCGCTGGGGAACGATGGACCACGGAGCGTGGATATGGTCCGGGGCGCTTGCCAGGCGAGCGCTCCCTGCCTCTGTCTCGGCTCCGCGCTGGTGGGCGGGCCTCGCGTCTCGTAGCTAGGTGTTTTGCTAGGCTAGCCGAGTCCTTAGCCGCGCTGTCCAGCCTCGTCATCAGCGTCTGCATCTCCGGACCGAAGAGCGACGTCTGGGAGATGGGCAGGTCCAGCAGCTGCCTCTTCTCCGCCTCTCTGAGGTTCACCGCCCCCAGCCAGAGGTGTCTGGCCCCGACCTGGGCTGCTGCCATAGAGCGGCCGCCATCGACAGCTAGCGCTTGGCACATGCGCAAGATCGCTGCTGAAGTGGTCCTCGCCTGGGCTAAGGTGTCTCCACTGAGTGCCTGGTCAGAGGAGAGAGACCTATCCAGGGCCCCGGTGATGAAAGCCATGTTGTTCGCCACCGCGACGACCTGAGCCGCATTGGCGTAACATCTGTCATGCATAGCCAGAGACATCCTATCCCGCTCGGAGGGAAGGAGAGGTCTGGTGCTGGGCCACACGGATGAGGAGGGGTGCAGGGCCGCCCGAACCGAGTCCTCGATGTCCGGGACCCCGCCTGTCCAGGACCAGTCCTGCACGTTGCAGTACATGCCATACCCCAAAGCGGGCCTCTTGGCCGCTAGGGGTTTTGGCCACTCACGTGTCGCGTAATGGACGATCGGGTCCATACGCGGGCACAACGTGGGCTGGGCTCTCCTCCTCCCTCGAGGGGCTGCGTACCCAGAGGTGAAGTCCTCCACCCTCTGGTTCGGTTGCGGTGGCAGGGGGGCATCCATGATGGCCGCCGCCGTGGCGTAGAGCCCAGGATGTGGTCCAGCGGGAAGCGGTCCGGCTCCGGGTTGGACACCACCTCGTCCAGCGTGAGGAGAGAGCCGACCTCCGACACCTCTCCGTCCTCGCAGTCACCCCACTCCGCGGGCACAGGTGGAATGTCGAGGGGGGCCCAGTCAATCTCAGACTCCTCGTCCTTAGAGGAGTCCGGACGGGGCGCTGTAGCGGCGAAGAACGCGCGCCTGCGTTCACTCTCCTCCCTGGGGGAGAGCGACACACGAGGCGCAGGTGGCGCTCAACGCCGCATGGCCCGCACCCAGGCACATGAAGCAGCTGGAGTGCTGGTCCTTGCGTTGGAGCTTGCCCCGACAGGTCGAGCAACGACGACGTCCGACGCCGGATGGCGAAGGGGAACTCGGACGTGCATCAGAAGACATCTTTCTTTCTCAGGTAACGAATGTAGATCTCAAAAGGCGCCAGAGTGAAAGAGGGGGTGCGGCCTTGTGCAGGGGCATTTATAGAGGAAGGTGGCTGGTGATTGGAGCAAATTATTTTGATCTCTCTGGCGTCTGTGACCTGGGGGTCACGTGATATCCCACTAGCGAAGTCCTAAGGGACGTAGCACCATGACGTAGAACTTTGCACCATTTTAATATTTCTTTTTTGAAGGACTGTTACTAAGCATTTACAGATAGCTGAGAAACCAAGCAGATTTGGTATATTTTCTGTGCTCCCTGTGTGCTCTTACTGCTGTCCTGTACGTGTGCTGCAACATTTAAATTTCTCCACTTATCTTATCTTATCTCATCTTATACTACTCATGTGAATAGGGCTTTAGGACAATATTACATATACCATTATACACAAATAGATATATATATATATTTTGTGTGAGCGTGTCTCACCAGTCGGCGAATGTCCTTCTCGCAGTCCCACTTGATCTTGGAAATTTGCTCCTGGTGCTGCTGGTGCTCCACTCGCAGGTCGCCCGCCTTCATCTTGTCGGCCTGGATCATGTGACTCAGTGCTTCGTCCGTTTGCTTCTTGCATGACTTGAGCTCAGCGATCTCCTGCAGAAGCTTCACTCGCTCGTGGTCAAAGAAGCGCCGCGCCTCCTCCCGGGCCTCCAGCGTCAGAGCCGTGCGGACCTGAGGAGATACAGTACTTTCTTTAAAGACCTTATGCAGGGTTTGTATTGATTAGAAATATAGTTTTAATACCATTTTATATTAGAAAAGAACGACTAAAGGTTTCAAATCATTCTTTTTTTTTGGTCGGATCCCCTAAAATCGAGACCATACCAACGCCTTAGTAACAAAAAAAACCCAAAACCAGCGCTTCTCCCTCGGTGACGTCACTGCGGACATCCGCTTGATCCAGAAGTACATGTCCTCCATACTACCACGCTTGTTTACATTTTGTTAAAGGTACACTGTGTAATTTTTAGTGCCATCTAGGGTTGAGATCTTATATTGCAGTCCAATATAGTACGGAAGCCTATACTGTCTTTGACAGTGCTCATCAACTCTCAGTCATTCACCAGACTGCCAAGGAAAGAATACTTTAGTTTGATAAATGACCGGATGTCTCCAAACGTCTCAGGCACTTGACAATTGTGTGGAGGAGTGGATGTAAACAAGACCGCGCTCAGACGCGGCACCCTGCACAGAGTTTTACCACGGATCTATTATAATGTATAGTTTTACAAACTCGGTGTGACGAGAAGAGACGCATGAATAGCGTCTGTGGGAGCTTAAAACAACAATGATCAAAGAAGCAGGAGATATACACAGCCGCGGCAGGACATGGCTAAAAGCTCATGTTAGCTTTAGCGTTAGCCACAGTGCCCAATCTGCATCACGGTAAGAAACAGAACATTCACTCACGCTGCTGAAAAGTTATTCTGGCGATTGTTTTGTTGGGATTCTGTGCATGTTTGTTTAGGATTTTTCCTTGAATAAGTTTAGTTGAAACTTGTGACATAGTAGTTGGACTGCGCTCGGATCGGGTCAGAACATCCTGAGACTGTGTTGCAGATTCTGCCTCGTTCTCTTTATTGTCAGTGTGAAAAAGTTACGTATTGTTCACGTGTGAGTCTGTTGTGTACAAACTATACAATGTGCCTCCTGTTGTGTTAAAGCTGTCTTTGTGCGTATGGTTTGCGATGTTGACACTTTGCTGCTATGACGCTGGACTTCTGCATAATTATTTTTCTAAAAGATTATTGTTCGGATCGTTCTTTTACATAACTGTGGTCCTCCATGGTTCCTTCTTCCAACTTGTGAAGACACGGTGAAAGCAACAATATCAGTAGCTCATGTGAAACAAAAACGCGATTCTCGCATTCTTTTTGTCCCTTATCCAACACTGTTTTTCAAGATGGCGCATTGACATGGATAGTCCTCAGCTCTCATGGACATTTATAAGTTAAATTCTAAGCCTATGAATACAATTGAAAAAACATGGTGGAGGTAAATATTCTTCAAAAGGTCACAGTTGTTGTTAGTTAACATGTTTTTTCATATGGAGCAGCTGTAAAAATTACACAAGCTGGCTTTAACAACAATCTATTTTCTCACTTATTCGGTGGATATTCAAGATGACAAGAAGATGACGCTTTGGACGGAAGAGGAAGAAGAAGACTACATGTGTTAGAGGCGAGAAGGATGGACTTGATCGCAGCCTCTGTGAGATTGGCCAACAAACTCACATTTAAATCACCTTTATATTATACAAATGTTTGAGTTTGAAAACAGCGTTTGATTGTACCGTTGTGTTAATTGTGACATGAGGAAATCTATGTTAGCCTGTTAGCCTGGCCTTAGCCATCCGTAAAGTAGTAAGTAAGTAGTAATCTTTATTTATATACCGCCTTTTCACTTCAGATCTGAGTCTCAAAGCGGTTTACAATTGTTAATTTTGGGCATTAGTCTCTCACTGTACGGGGCCAGTACAGGAGGCGCATGCTAGACCTATTGGACATATTTTTAGTGGTAGGGGAAACCAGAGTACCCGGAGGAAACCTACGCAGACACGGGGAGAACATGCAAACTCCACTCAGAAAGGCCCTGGTCCGACCGGGATTCGAACCCAGGACCTTCTTGCTGAGAGGCGAGAGTGCTATCCACTCAGCCACCGTGCCGCCCATGGTAAACTCCCTACATGTACAAAATGTAAGGAGTATGATAAGAATATAGGCTGTAAATGTTAGTAAGACCATAGGCTGTAAATGTTAGTAAGACCATAGGCTGTAAATATTAGTTAGACCATAGGCTGTAAATGTTAGTTAGACCATAGGCTGTAAATGTTAGTAAGACCATAGGCTGTAAATGTTAGTAAGGCCATAGGCTGTAAATGTTAGTAAGACCATAGGCTGTAAATGTTAGTTAGACCATAGGCTGTAAATGTTAGTAAGACCATAGGCTGTAAATATTAGTTAGACCATAGGCTGTAAATGTTAGTTAGACCATAGGCTGTAAATATTAGTTAGACCATAGGCTGTAAATGTTAGTTAGACCATAGGCTGTAAATGTTAGTAAGACCATAGGCTGTAAATGTTAGTTAGACCATAGGCTGTAAATGTTAGTTAGACCATAGGCTGTAAATGTTAGTTAGACCATAGGCTGTAAATATTAGTTAGACCATAGGCTGTAAATGTTAGTTAGACCATAGGCTGTAAATATTAGTTAGACCATAGGCTGTAAATATTAGTTAGACCATAGGCTGTAAATATTAGTTAGACCATAGGCTGTAAATATTAGTTAGACCAGGCTAAATCCTTGCTACTCCCTATTTAGGGAACATGCATGAATCTAGTCTGTCAGGAGTAAGCTACATAAACATGAAAACCATTGATTTGATTAACGTGAAAACATCGTCGGAGATGTGAGAACTGCTTTTTTGAGTTTGTTATAAAAACAAAATTCTAGGATAGGCCCCTTTACCTCGCGGCCCCACTGGTATATGTAATGTGTATATGTGTGAGGGCTGCTGTCGAGGTTTGAATTGAAGTTGTGTCTGTAGTCAGTCTGTTGTTGTTGTTGTAATGGTGGTTGGATGGCATTTTTCACACTCAGGCCCCAACCAATAGTTAATTCTTATTTTCATATTTATTTCCCTGTATAAGAGGCTTGTTTGTGTATTTGTTCCGATCTGCGTCTGATTGCCACCCCCCTGACCCAGAAATGGATTAAAGGGTAGAAAATGGATGGATGGATGGATATAGGAGGATAATCCTCCTATATAACTTTTACTGAAACAATGTACATCTCAGCTGGAGTTGTATCATAATTATTGGGTATTTATCTGTGTATTCATTATTTTAGCGGTTTTCAGTTTTTTTTGCTTGGATTGCATCTTAAACCTTGAGTCTTAAAGTTGAAGTCAGCAACAATATCCGTAATTGAGGGTTATATGTATCATATTTTGTACCATACACACAGGAGAGATGTAAATGTTATACTTAAGCATTTACATCTCTCCTATTGTGTTTATGAAAGCCGCTGTGAAAGAGCTGACAGTAAAAAACAGGAGTGTAAAGTCTATGTGTGAAATGACTGAAGTGGATAAGAGAGGCTAAGTACATGGGGAAATCTGGATTTCTTACATATTTTATAGAAGATTAGAACAGTTTGATGTTTGTTGTTTTGTGCTGGCTATTTCATGGTAAGGGAGATATCAAATTATGTTTATTGCAAAGATGTGGCATTCACAGAAGAATGTCACATTTTCCTGGTAAGAATTCCCTGTGGCAGTCTTGATTTCTCAAGGGTTTACAGATTTAGTGATGGATGACTCTGTAGTGGAGTGATTACTTTAGACCTCCAAGATAAGGATAAAAACAGGGTCAGAATCCAACATCATGTCTCCCTTCAAAGATGTTTCACACATTGTAATCAAGTTATATCCTAAACACTCTAAACCAGTGTCTCCCAAAGTGGGGTCCGCGGCCCCCTGGTGGGCCGCGAGGGTACTGCAGGGGGGCCGCGGGAGGTCATAAAAAAAAATAAAAAATTATATAATTATTTAATGTTAAATTTATAATGTTTTGTTTGTAATATTAAAATATTTGTGTTCATTATTTGACTTGAATAAGCCACTGTAATCATTTTTGTATTACAATGTTTGTAGCAGAGGCTATTTCCCCAAAATAAAATAACCAGAAGAGCCTATTCTTAATGTTGTCTTCTTGGTTATTATTTTGGGGGGCCACGCAGACCCATCAGATTTTTAAGGGGGCCTCGGTGTTACTGAGTTTGGGAATGGCTGCTCTAAACCAAGACAAGGAGCTTTCTTCTTTCATTCACATACTTGAAAACCACAGCAACGACAGAGAGAGTCAGCCACATGTACGTCAGTGCGACATCACACCACCTTTCTATTTACTTCAAATCAAAGATCTTGAAGCTAAAAAAGACCATCTGAATCTCTTTACGTCCTGTTGGGTTTGCTCTATCGGTCCACTCCAAAATATTTGTTATTTATTTTTTGAGGCTACAGGCATCTGGTCATGTCCAAACACATGATAACTTTACTACTTTTAGGGTTTAGGGACGTTTCTCACTGACAAAGTCTCACTGTACTTTATGAATTGCTTCTGGATAAATCGTTGACAGCATCTTTAAAGATGATTAAATAGACAATATTAAAAACAATAAAAGATAATAAGAAAATAACAGACATTGATAAACTTTCTTGAAAAAATGTATACAGCTGTGCTTGAAAGTTTTACATACCCAGTAATAGTTTTGGCCAACATTTGGGAATTATAAACAATAACGTGTCTTCTCCACTGCATTAGTGCGTTTGTAAATCCATATATTCTGACAGTTTTCTATGATTCAAATTAAGCCAATTTTTGTAAATCTCGAATGCACGGTTCATGCAAGGCAGCCCCGAAATATACAGGAACTGAAAACTGAGAAGAATGGGCAGCAGAAAAGATAAAGAACACCACAGAAGATTTCGAGCTGCAATACGCGCTATTGAGAACTGGTGGAAGAAAAAATCTGGGTAATTTGAATAGTAATATTTTGTTATAGTTTCTGTCATTATAATTGGAAATGTAAAAACCCCATGACCCCGCTGTGGTGGCACCAGGCGGCAGAACGGCTTGCCTGATGCGTCTAGAGGTGTGAATGTGAATGAATGAGTGTGTGATCCCAGGAAAAAAGGGTTTACGGCTATAGATAAAAAGATTGAAAACATGATTATTTTAAAACATATGGCTTTGCAGAACCACTATCAATGAGTGAAAAAATATATATTTACATGTACGGACATTTATCAACACAAAGACGTTGGTCATCTGCCCCTTATGGACCAATACCAATGTGTTTTCTGTTTTATTTATTATTATTATGATTATTTGTATTATTATTATTATTGATTCTTGTGTTTGAACTGTTTTATTCTCTAATCTGTGTTGGCGAATTCAACGGTTGTGTAGAGTCCTCCGAGATATTTACTGTTGTTATTTAGGGCTATACAAGAATACATTGAATTAAATAGCCAAAAACCTCACAATTTCTGGATTCAAGCCCTTCACAGAGCAGCACTGCTAACCTTCTCCCCGCTGCCGTCCCTCATGGCGTTGATGGCGGCCTTCAGTCTCTGGTTCTCCTGCTCTTTGATCTTGGCGTGCCGGGCCAGCTCCTGCTCATGCTGCCGGCTCAAGCTTTCCCGCAGACTTTGCAGCTCCTTCTGTTTCTCCTCGTGCCATTTGGCCCTTTGCTCCGTCAGGGCCGCCGTGTGTCTGTGCTGCTCCTGCTCGCGTGCACGCTTCACCTCCTGCACCTTGTCCCGCTCCAACTTGCTCACCTGAAAGAACATGTAGAGGAATGTGGAAGTTGTGTTGCATTTGTGTTGTATTCAATGTTTGAACTGTTCAAGCACCTCAATTGTTAAATGTAAAAAGTTCCATATATATATATATTTATGTTTCAAGTTTAGAAAGAAAATTATTAAAAGAACCTTCTGAACCTGAATAGTTACTTAGGGCCGGCTCAGCTCTCCATAGATACAGTATATGGCTGATACCGTGGAACATTCCAGGAAAAACCATAACTTCAGCTTTTGAGATTGGCTCACAAATTTTCAATGGTTCAGTCGTCTTCTTCTTGAGCAGTTTAATGGTACAATATTAATATTATTAATAATACTGTTTATATTTGGCCACACCAGAGCTTTATGCAAACTTTAACAAGTTTATTTTACCACGTAAACTTTAACTCGTTTATTTTAACAAGTGAACTTCAACAAGTTTATTTTAACAAGAAAAGTTGAACACGTTTACATTAACAAGTTACTACTGCTACTACAATGTGCAGGAGAGTTGTTGTTTGGAATTGGGAATATTCTATAATCCTACACAATTAAAGATTTTTTAAGGATTAACTGGATTTAAGATTAATTACCAGTATTTTGTGTGAAATGTTGATGGTAAAACGCTGCGGATGTTACTGATTTGGTGTTGCTGTTAAAATGTAAGTCTGAGTCCCTTACTATATCTATCATTTACCATACATACCTTATCACAATATTGGACAGAGCATGGAGGTCAAACAGTACATTTGCCATCAATATTTAACCTTCTCAGTCAGCTGTTACTGACATTACATGCACAAGAATGCAAAATGCCATCTTTACATGTATTGTATGTGTTCAACCAAAATCAAAATGAATTTAAATCAGTTTGAAAGATATTTTTGTTATGTGCATTTACAAAATAAGAAAAAGTGTAATAATAACAAAAAAGTAATGTATAATTCATCAGGAATGTACACATTTTTGTTATGTATTTATCAGAAAAGGACACAAAACATAATAGTGAGTCATACCTTGCATTTTTCCTGATGCAGCTCTATCTGGATGTCGGTGAGTTTGGATCGTAAATCCTCGTTGGCGGCCTGCAGGGCGGAGATGAGCGCTTCGGGCTTCTCACCCTTCGCGCTGCGTGCTTTCTTGGCCATTGAAAACACTAGTGGTTCTGCTCGGACAGGTTCATTGGGACCTCACTGAAACTTTGCAAAACAACTCCAGGGTTTCCAGTTCCTCCTCTTCTTCATTCTTCTTTAGACACAATAACTGAAAAAGACGATAGATTAAGATTTAGACAAGATTACTTAACATAACCCTCACTTCAACTTTTATACATTGTGTCATGTTTACCATCACACAGTGTCCAAAACGTTATTCATTGGGTTATGTTTCAGGCATTATAGCATTATTTACTTCATTCAATGTGTGCAATGCTTTTTGTTGTGCAATAACAAATCTTTTTGAATGATACGAACCACAAACATAATCATTTTCTTTTTTGAAAGACCACAATAAATGAATAGACTACTGTGCATTACAAATAGCCTTTAACACTCCCTTATAAGTGCTGATTGGTCAGATCTTCCTCTTTCAAAATAAATGGATAAATTGAGCCAAACTCAATGTCATCTACTTTTAGTATAATTGCAGCTGTTCTGGGATGGCCTCAGAGCTATGTTTACAGTGCATTGGTCACTACATTATCATTAAGTGCAAGTTGTTGAGCACTTTGAAGTCATACAAATATTACCAAAACTTTGAATATATCACAGAAAAGGAAAAGGTATGGCACCACTGCAAATTAGACACGGCCATCTTTAGAATGTGCTGGAAGCGGCAGCAAGTCCTAAATAGCTCTGAAACATTAGTTGTTTTGTGCTTTACAATTGTTATTTTTATTGTTTTGTTTCTACCTGAAATGTTGCTGCAGTACAATGTTCATGGTTTTACACTGGTCCAGACCAGAGCAGAGAGGATTCATGGACCGAACCAAGCGGATCAGGCCAAAATCCACTGGAGGTATAATAACTCTTTGAAAAATGCTAATGAAGCATTCAGCTTCTGTCATGTCAGTCAAAATTAAACATGCTTAACTTATGACTGCTGCGCTAAATAGTCATTTTCTATCAAACTAATAGACCTCCTTTCATTGCTCATTACATACAACATTGTAGAACTAGTTCTCAAAATAGAAATCTGTCAAACTAATTTCATACATTCCTTTATCATTTTATCCTGACAATCTCTGTGATGTAGATGAAAATATGTGGCTAGACAGACAGAAAAGTGTGGATGTCCAGGAATAACTTATGTAGCTTTTCAATAGTATGTACTGGTGTATTGTTGTTAACATTTGTGCACAGTTCTACCATAATGGTATTTCTTAGGTTTGTTCTAAATAAGTGACTGTGTATTTGTTTTTTTTTGTTTTGTTTTTTTTTTTGCACAATGCTGTAGAACTGCATAAGGCATATGCAGTAAATATGTGAAATACAAACATACAGTGCCTTGTGTTACCTCACTAAATATAGCCATGTATAACTTTACTGTAGTTTTCGGCTGTACAGGTTGTGTAAAGTGCTCCCCAAGTGTTACCAAGATCTGCCTTTTTTGGAGAACACAGAGTGTAAACTGTCACAATGACAACACACAGAAAGAAAACATGACAAAGCCAATAGACTGTGTTGTTCATAAACACTGGTGTCAGGACATATTATCTTGAGACACAGTTTCATTGACATGCTTTTGAGGAATTAACTTTTCATTTTGAGAAAGTGACGCACTTTTGCAGGTTATCCACACTGTAAACCCTGACAAGTAAAGTTTACTTGAAAAAACCTTGGAAACAAATTGCACATTAATTTCACTTGAATTCCTCGAGCACATCCTTTACTTGATATTACCAAGTAAACTCAAGTGATGCAATAAAGTTTAAATTTTAACTTATGCTCCGACTGGGATTCGTACTTAAAACACTGTAGTAGAGAGGTGAAGGTGCTACCCACTCAGCCACTGTGCCACCCTGTCAACAACACACCTGCCTCATTAAAGAGTCTACATGTTCAAAATGTCAAAAGTGAGGCTTACTTGAACAGAGACAGTTCAATTCAAAGAATACCCTGAGTGATAAAGCTCATTTTTTGTTAAATAAACTAACAAAAAATTAGTAATATTTACTTACTAGGAAACATCTATGTAAAATAACTTTGATATCTGAAGTAAGATTGAAGTTAGGGTTTATACGAGGTTTTCCAGTTTGTACTAATTATTCTGAGAAATGCACAGACTGTTGTGAAGAGTGATGTGAGGAATGCACCAAAGCGACTGAGAAAAACTGTATTACAGAGCATGCGGGAATAATCTCCACTTATAAAAACTGACTGATTTGTCCTTTCATTAATAATGATAATAAATATTTTATCTGCAGATAGAGGGCACACAAGAGGAAAGACGAAAGAAAGACAATGTGGGACAGTAAAATAAACTAGCAGGTCGATAAAAAGATGCTTTTTGATTCTATTAAAAGCAAAGCACTTTTCCACTGTTTCCACCACATATGTAATTCAAGACATATGTCATGCAGAATACTAAGTTTCCTGAATGAATCTTCACCGCACTAATTTAATTTTCCGAATCAAACATTAATCAAAGTCTCAACACATATGTTTTTGTCATGGTTTTTACAGATATACTAAACAAGGAGGTTTACTCCCCTGTGTCATTAATAATCATGAAGACAGGTTTTCAAAGCAGCATAAAGCAGCATGTAGTTCGGAATAAAGCATAAATTCCGAACTACATACTGTTCTTTTGAAACAGTTTCTTCCTGATCAGACAAAGGTTCCATAATGTACAATTAAATATGTCAGTGGGTGCTCTTTTTTCACAAGTTTTGAGAAATGGCAGGCTCCTTTTGTGGCACCGGCACCTGCCACAGCTGATCAGTGGCATGTACACAACAAGTGGCGTTTAAAACGGCATGTGGGGAATAAATGGCGTGTAAAGCGGCATGTGGGCAATAAATGGCGTTTACAACGGCATGTGGGGAATAAATGGCGTGTAAAGCGGCATGTGGGCAATAAATGCCGTTTACAACGGCATGTGGGGAATAAATGGCGTGTAAAGCGGCATGTGGACAACAAATGGTGTTTAAAACGGCATGTGGACAACAAGTGGCGTTTAAAACGGCATGTGGGGAATAAATGGCGTGTAAAGCGGCATGTGGACAACAAGTGGCGTTTAAAACGGCATGTGAGGAATAAATGGCGTGTAAAGCGGCATGTGGACAACAAGTGGCGTGTAAAGCGGCATGTGGACAACAAGTGGCGTTTAAAACGGCATGTGGGGAATAAATGGCGTGTAAAGCGGCATGTGGACAACAAGTGGCGTTTAAAACGGCATGTGGACAACAAGTGGCGTTTAAAACGGCATCTGGGGAACAAATGCCGTTTAAAACGGCATGTGGGCAATAAATGGCGTTTAAAACGGCATGTGGACAATAAATGGCATTTAATACGGCATGTGGGCAATAAATGGCGTTTAAAACGGCATGTGGGGAATAAATAGCGTGTAAAACAAATACAGTTGAAAGCAGCCTGTACAAAAGACAACAAGCAGCAGTATTAGAGATAGTGGTCCAGTGGCTCAGATGGAAAAGCACAGGCCTACGGTGTTGATGGTTGCTAGTTCAAATCCCCAGTGACTACCAATGACATTTGCTGATGTTGGGTCCTTGGGCATAACACTTCATGGAGAATGTCAGAAGTGCCATAAGTTGTTTGAAAAATGTAGTCTGTGTTATAATAAATAAAATTTAAAATTTTAGATTCTGAAGAACTGTATATTCCTGTGGCGCACTTGGTTTATAACTGTCTCTCATGCGAAAGATACCTGGTTCGATTCCAGGTCTGGTCTTTATTTTTTTTTTGTCAGATTAAATACAAATTGAATATGTATGAATATATATTTCATACATATGGTTATGTGTTGTTCCAATAGTAATCTTGCATTAGGATTAATATTGCATTATCGTTAGGGTAAAACTAAATGATGTGTAAAACACTCAAGACACAATTTTACTTAAAACCACCTGGTGAGTGGTATACAGTAGTTGGTGTGTGTCCGCCAATCATGCAAGAGTTTGCAGATTCAAATCCAGCCAAGATCAAAAACTTTTTTATGACGGTTATTTCTTTATACATATATATATCAATAAATATCTATACATATCTTTATATATATATACAGTTTTTATATAACTGCCATTAAAAAAAAAAACGGTACCTTGATTCGATCTGCCAATCTCACGCACTATAGACGAATGTTTAATGACTGCGCCACTTATTTTGTGTTTTGGCAAAGAAAAAACCAAAAGATTCTATTGTTGTTTTAGGACATTTCATCAAGAATGGAGCCAACCAAAGATGGTGAAGAGTGATGGATTGAAAAATACAAGCAGAAAGTTGTGTAATTGGAACATGAGGTTTCATCTCTATATTGTTAAAATCTTCATTTCTGTTCTTGGACCGTTTAAGCTGTGTCTTATACTTTGCATTCTTTAAAAAAATATATATGTATTGATGCTCTTTCTTATTGTTCCATGTTTCTGATGTGGTTTTATTAAAGAAGAGAGAAAAAAAAAACGTTTGTTTTATTTATATTTATATATATATATATATATATATATATATATATATATATATGGGGGGCGACAGTAGCTCAGTTGGTAGAGCATTGGCCTTAAGCCCAGAAGGTCGTGGGTTCAATTCCCACCTCTGCACCTTCTCCACCAACTCCCACTGATGACTGCTGTCGTTGTGTCCTTGGGCAAGACACTTAACCCCACTTTGCCCAAAAGCCCCCACTGAAAGATCAAGGCTATGCTCACACTCAGAGAGCAGCTGTCCTCCTGTGGACTCACCACCTGCAGAGGGTCAGTGAGGGGCTGGTGCTATGAGACTTGGGTGGCATCTCTGACTGTCACCCCCCTGACCCAGAAATGGATTAAAGGGTAGAAAATGGATGGATGTATATATATATATATATATATATATATATATATATATATATATAATGTCATACATATTAAATTTGTATTTAATCTGACAAAGAAAAAATAATGACCAGTACTGGATTTGAACCAGGTATCTCC